CCCCCGGCCCTGCTGCTGCTCCTTGCCCGCCTCTGTCTTGACTATGAGGCCACCACCGTCAGTTACATCCTCACTCTCACCGACGAGCAGTTTCCCCCCCAGGTGAGCCCCCAAAACTGAGCCCCGTGGTGCGCGTGGAGGTATGGGGATCTTCCTTCTGTCTTTGTGTGCCCTCAAATGTCCCTGAGGGACCCTAAAATGTCCCCAGGTCCCTCCCTGCGCCCTGCTGTCGCCCCATGTCCATCCAGGATATGATCAGTGCACATGGAGGCAGAAGGGTCTTCACCTGTGCCAGTGTTTCCCAAATGTCCCCAAGGGCACCTCAACATGTCCCCAAGGGGCTTCTGCATGTCCCCAAGTCCCCCCAGATGCCCCAAGGATATGAGGATGGCAGCGATGCTGCTGCAGGTGGGGTGGCCCGGAGAGCATCCCATGTGTCCCCTGATGTCCCTGTCCCCCCAGGACATCAGATGGTGGAGGTACGGGGGGGCATCCCCACATGTCCCCATGTCCCTTATCCCCAGGCTGCAATGCCAGTGGTGACGGTGGGGACAGCGCTGTGCGTGGAGGTGTGTGGGGTGTTCCTACGTGTCTCCGCATGTCTCGCATGTCCCTTGCACCCCCAGGACACGGGCCCGGCGGTGACACCGGGACCGGCACTGTGCGCAGAGGCACGGGGGGCGGCACAGCGGCTGCTCGACCACTACGTGCAGGTCCAGGGCGCCGCGGTGGCACAGATGCTTAGGAAGAGTGTGGAGACGCGAGACTGGTTGGGCACCGTCGAGCCCCGCAACGTTCGTGCTGTAATGAAGCGCGTGGTCGAGGACATCACCGCCATCGATGTCCAGGTTGGGGCAACACCAGGAGCCCAGAGGGGCTGGGGAGGGGCCTGAAGTCCCCTGGGGGGTCCCAGACATCCCAGAGGGTCCCTGGAGAGGCCCTGAGGTCGCCATAAGGTCCTTGAGGACTTTAGGAAGTCCCCAGAGGGGCTCTGCAGGAGTTGCTGAAGTCCCCTGGCAGTTCCCAGATGTCCCAGAGGGTTCCAGGGAGAGTTGGGAGTCCAGAGCATCCGGGGGGGCTGAAGGGTCGAGAGGGGATGCCTGAGGTCCCCATATGGTCCTTGAGGATCTTTGGGGGTCCCAGAAGGTTTTGGGAGGGTCACAGAGGATTTGAGGGATCCTGGGTGGTTTGGCGGGGGGTCCCAGAGGGTATTTTGGGTGGATTCTGGGATACCAGCACTGAGAGGGTGTGGTGCTGCAGGTGGGGCAGCTCTTCGAAGAGGGGGTGCGGCGGGGGCC